ATCTTATCGATCTTTTGTGGTGGACTTGACCAGTGCACAAGAATGTGTACTCGGTCCCTTAGGCCGTTACTTGACTCACACATCCATGTGAACAAGTAGTTCGTCTTAATTTTCCAATACTTGAAAGTTCTCATTCATCATGCTATACAACTTGCATGATTCCAAGTTTCGTTCCAATTGAAACTTGGGTGATGAGAATCTTTCCTTATTTGGTAAATTTAGACATTACCACAAATGAAAGAATCAATTTCATATTTCCATTCTTGCTCTTAATGGAATCTTTATAAGCAACAATTTTTCCTTAAATGCCATTGTAAGGATATTTTAAAATAAATAAAATCAAAATTTTCCTTTTATTTTTAAAAACTTTTGCGGAAGAACTGGTCCTTACAATCCATATGAAAACTTGTTGTTATCTATTCCTAAGCAATATCTCATAACTCCTAAGAAGTAGCTCAAGAATCCGATCTTCAAACTACGCGATAGAAATCCATCTACTCGATCAGATTCAGTATATTCTTTCATTAAATTTCTTCACTTTTCTTTGATTCTTAAAACATCACCGTGTGACCCAGTCACATCATATATCAAGAATCTCCGAATAGAAACTTAGTAGAGTTAGATAGTGGACTTTACCTGAAGTAGAGTCAAACTAATTGACTTTAACACCCTTAGGTAAATTGTTAGCTTCGCAACCAATGCCCCTTCCTTTGGTAATATAAACATATGGACCCTTTGGTAATGGTACACGAGACTATCACAGACTTAGTTTTTCTCTTTACCATTTGTCAACCGAGTTGACTATGGCCGATCCCTTTCCATTGGGTAGAGAGAGCTTTACTGGATATCCAATGTCATCATTGTCAATGACCATAACGTTTTAGGAAGTTGATCTTAGCAAATGGATAAGATCATTAAGGATCTTGTCTTAGTCTGTTTCATAGGAGTCCCAAAGGAACTCACTATGAGACTTAGAAAGTAGTTGAGCCACCAACTTTCTCAAGAATTTGACACCCAACTCTCCCGGCTTGTCAATATGTGACTACATCTCCAAGATGTGACCACACCTAGACCTTTCCCTAAGGTCAAATGACTCCAACACACCATCCTTTTAGAGTTGGGCTATGCGTTTCTTGTTGACATGTCCAAGACGACAATGCCATAAGGATGCCTTATCCATACTATTGGAAGAATCCAAGTACAAAACATCATTTCCTAAGTTATCAACAATCATAACAGTTTCATAAATTCCATTACATGGTATAGCTTCAAAGTAAAAGACACCATTTAGATAAGCTAAAATAGAACCATTCTCATTATTAAAAGAAAATCTAAAATCTTGTGTAAACAAACCATGAAAAGAAATGATGTTTCTAGCCATTTCTTGCGAATAGCAACAATTGTTCAAATCTAAAGATAAACTATTCCTAAGCGCTAAAGAATACACTCCAATCTTGGTCATAGGCGACGATCTTCTATTTCCCATGATTAGATTTATTCTTCCAAGCTCAATGTCTCTACTTCTTCTTAGTCCCTGCACATTAGAACAAATGTGGTAACCACAACCGGTATCAAGAACCCAAGAAGTATTATGGGAATCATTAGATTTAATTGTATATATACCTACGAAAGATGGCTTGATCTTTCCTTCCTTGATGGCTTGCAGGTACTCCGGGCAGCTTCTCTTCCAATGTCCTATCTTGTGGCAGTGGTGGTACTCTGCCTCCTTCGGATTAGAGCAGGGCATAGCGGGATCAACTTTGGTCACACTAGAAGAGGCACCATCTTGGGCTTTCACCTTGTGATGGTTATTTGACGAAACCTTCCTCTTCTTTCATTTTCCTTGTCCAATTGCCAAGACAGGAGCAGCGGGCGGATTGGGAGTTGGTGCAACAGACTTGTCCTTGAAGTTGCTCTCAGCGACCCTCAAGAGACCTTGGAGTTTGCTTAGGGTGACCTCTTCTTTGTTCATGTGATAGGTCATCCTAAATTGATTGTAGCTTGGAGGCAAAGAGTGAAGCACCATGTCGATCGCCAAGTCTTCCCAATAGTCAACATTTAACTTGCGAAGGCGGTCGACATACCTTTGCATCTTTTGCAAGTGCACGATAAGAGACTCTCCGTGACCCATCTTAGCAGAAATCATGTTCGTGAAAATCTCATAACGCTCTTGTCTCGCGTTTTGATGGTATCTCTCCAATAAGTCTTGATGCATTTCGTACGGATACATGTCCTCGTAGGACTTTTGGAATTCGGAGTTCATAGTCGCGATCATGATGCAATGCAATTTCGTTGAATCACGTTTGTGAGTTTCGAAAGCGGTGATTTCGACAGGAGTAGCGATTTCGGGGTTGATTTTCTCGAGCTTCTCATCGAGGACATACTCCTCATCCTCATAGCGAGCAATCGTGCGAATGTATCTTATCCATTCGCTAAAGTTCGTTCCATCAAAGGTGACCTTTTGACAAAGGCTCATCAAAGTGAAAGAACTCGCAGCAGCATTGTTAGCGTTCGACATCTACAAATAGAAAGGACAAAGATAGATCAGAATATGAATCCCTAATTATCACCCAATAAGAAGAATTAGGGCTAGGATCCAACAACAACATTTACACATTAGAAAATGGATGCCGTCATCTAATATGCAAATAATTTGAAGGTAAGTGAATGACGATTCAGTAATTCTTCACCATGAAAAACGTAACATTAAGTCCTAAATGTATTGAGAATTCCTAGGTTCAGATAAGATTCATTGAAACTTTTCAATGGCATGTTTAAATCTCGATATGCCCCTCTTGTTTGTGATTGGGATACCGAGGATCACAAAGCGGGTGCGAATTACCATACAAATTAACGTGGTGCCTTCATTGTAACGATCACCTATTCGATGTGTCGGTAAACCACACACGCTCCATCGAACTATGATAAAAAATGAATCACCCTTTGCCACCTTTGCTTAGAACCAATTAGTGTGCCGGTAAACCACACATGCTCCACTAACTTCTTAGCAAGGTGCAAAGTGTAATTTCATGGGATTACATCAATTCAATTTTCCTAAAGTAACTAAGATTAGGAATTTTAATAAAACATGTAGTTACTTTGTATTTCTTATTATACTTTTAATGAGGGGATGAGGTTGCCCTATCCTACCCGTTCGGCTAACGACCCTCCACCAATCAAGCGAGCGGTGGGTGTGAGTGTACACCCATTAAGCGCCATTTTATAAGCCGCAACCTTATACCCACCTTATATACCGGCTTCGTGAATGAGGCCTACTAACGGTAAGATTAGCATTTAAGTTATACATATATATATATATATATATATATATATAATAATCTTGTAATATTATATTAGTATAGGGTTGTATTTTAAACTTGTAAAATTCTAGGGTTTGAAATTTAAATTGTCTAAATTAAACTTTTAATCACAAATCATAAATTTCAAAACTTGAGGACAAGTTTTAAACATTTAAAACGTAAAGGAGCAAATAACAAATAATGTAAATCACATAATTATCTATATTTGATTAATAATTATCATATAAGGAAATCAAATATTTTATTAATTGATAATTATCTTCAATTAGATCAAAAATATAGTCATATATATCACAAAATCGGATTAGGGTTGATCTAATATGATTAAGGTAAGTTTCCATAAGATAAATATGAAAAAATCCCGTTTTTGGCTAATCCTGACGCTCGGACTCGCCGAGTACACAAAGGGACTCGCCGAGTCAGGCCTACTCGCCGAGTCCACTTTGGAACTTGCCGAGTCCATGACTCAGAAACATGAAAATCGAGTTTTTCAGTTTAGTTTCATACAATCAAGCAACAATTCAATGAAAACCAAACCTGGCTCTGATACCACTGATGGGTTTTAGCCATAAGAACTTTCCTATGTGCGCATGCAAAACGCTAATGCTTGGATCTAGGCTTTCTAATCAAACATGCTTTGAATCCAAGACTTCTAATGACTATTTAGGTGTAATAACAATACTGAAATAGATCTAGAATCATACCTTTGAATTCCTTGTTGATCTTGTTGTCTTGGAGCTTCTAGAGTCACAATTGACACTCCTCTAATGGCTTACAAACACCAAATAGCAAGGAGGATGATTTGGGAGAGAGGAGAGGGGAGGAATTAGGCCAGAGTCTCTCTACTTTAGATGGGATATCGAATTCCCTCCGCCATAGGGTATATTTATACTTGTAGACTCCTTAAGGGTTACAACTTAAACCCTAATTGGATAACTTAGACTTTAAGTTAATCCATATCCTTACCTTAGATATCCTTTGGACGATTTTGGCTTATCCAAGCCCTAGAAATCGTCCAACCTATCTTCCATAAGGATTTATAGTCTAAAGTGTAACTATCAAAAAATTGACAGTTTATACCCTCTTATTTAATTTATCTCTATAAGTCACCAAATTAACTCCAATTAATTCTATGACTTATAACAATATATTATTCTTTATATTATTCTCATAATATATTTACTCTCTCTTAATAAAACATCCTATCAAGTTGCTATGGTGAAGGCAACCCAAAAGGACCATGCACAATCGGGTAAAATACTTGCGTAATATAGTTGCAGCCTTAGACACTATTCCAACAAAAAACAACATCATCGATCAGTTGGCTGAGAAACTCAGAAAGCCAAGGTTATTTCGGTGAAACTGCAAAATGTTACCAAACTGGTTGCTGATCTTGAAAATCAGAGAACTATAGTCAAAAGTTGTATTTTCGAGATCAATCGGTATCTGATGAGGATTGTTAAGACTTGTGACTCCTTGTTCAGAGTCTCGGTTCAACAACATCTATCTAACAAGATTCAAGTGGTCATTGCTATGATGAATTGAATCTAAGGTGTTTCAGGAAGAGGGGATCTTCCAAAAGAAAGGGGAGACAAGGATCAACAGTCTAAGATCAAAATCAAATAGAAGGATAGTATAGCTTCTAGTTATAGAAAACATCAAGATAAAGGAAAGGGTATTATGGATGATGAATATAAAGAAAATTTTAAGATGGCTGAATCTGAAAGGATTGCTATGAAGAAGTGTGATAAAGAGCTGGATGATCTCCAAGCTCTTCGCAAAAAGTTAGACGTTGAAGAAGATGATGTTAAGAATGCGAAGCTTATGCTCAAAAATCAGAAGTCATTGTTTCCTCCTTGGATAATGCAACACATTCAGAAAGAGGCTATTGACGAACCGGTGATCTATTGGTTGGAGCCCTCGAATTCATCTGAATTTAATTTAATTTCCCCATCACACCCAAGGCTTTTCTCTTTTGATATTTTGAGAAGATTGAGAAGTCATTAACACTTCTTCCGACGTTAAATACTTTTTGGATATGATCAAATGGTACTTACTCATCTAAAACTCGATTCAGAATTTAATCCCCAAACTGTTTGATGTGCAACAAAGATAATGAAGACACTCCTTCTAAATTTGACACAAAGGGGAAGATTGTTGGGTCTATTATGTGTTATGTCAAATATGTGCTTGTAAAGTTTTATTTATTCCGATATGGGCCTGTCCACGATCGGTTTTGCTATCTAGTTTTAGTCTATATATAGTGCATGCATGTAACATATTGTTGGGTTATGAGCATTCTAACACTCCTAAGTGTACATGCAACCCTAAATACCTTGGATCTATGTTTTCTCTATTATACATGCAAATATGAACATCCAAGGTATTATCCTAATCTAGCATACAAAATAATGGATATAACAAGATAGAATACATACCTCTTTGATAGTGCTTGTCTTCATGAAGCTTGAGTGCCTAGTGCCCCATGTGTGACACCTCAAATGGTTCACACAACACCATAAGCACTTGGAATAACTTAGAAAGAAATTAGAACACTTCATGAAATCGTCTAGCCCTCATACATACACATAGTGTAACAATTTCTTTAGCCATGGGTTTCTTTTATATGGTGGCTATTAGGGTTACACCATGTAACTCATGACTTTACCCATTCCTTATGCTCCATGGATTTTAACCTCCATGGAGTATCCATGGGTCACCCCATGGACTTAGTCCAACATAAGGAATCTTGGATCACAAGCCCACATATATAAGAATGAATGATTTACACAATCAACCCATATATTTAATTAGTCTCCTTTTGATCACTTAATTAATTCCAAATTAATTCTTGATCAATACTAATTAAATAACCTTATTAATATATTAGAACTTATAATATATTAACAAACCTTAAGTGTTATTTCTCTCATTTAGTCTATCCAAGTGCATGATGCCATGCAACCCAAATGGACCATGCCGGGTCGGGTCAAGTCTTACCAATTATAGTTATGGACTTAGACATTAATCCAACAGTCTCCCACTTGGATAAGTCTAAAACTATTATTGCGTATGACTTCAGGAACCAACTGGCAATCGTAGCTCTCAAAAGCTTCTGTCGAACTCTGACCTTGTAGATGAACTCTGATCTTGTCAATGACTTGTCCATTAGATAAGGGATCATATATTCCTCCATTCTAGATATCATATGGACTGAGACATGGATTATAATCATTCTCTCTGTCCATTTGTTGTTTCCCGATTTCCGATTTATGACGACTGACTAATTGAACAAATCAAATCAGTCCTGGCCCGGCCGAGCACTTCCATTTGTCATCATCAAATCATCGAGGGGCCCACAGATATCGCTTTTATCCCGAAGGTAAAAGGAATGGATAAACTTCGACTCATATGGCTTGTTCTACTACTTGTTGAATCATACACAAAGACACGTTTTATAACATCGAGTTACCAATGCGTTTCGTGCAATCAATGTACAACCAACTCATAGTAACAACTCATATCTCTAGGTTTGAAGAATATAAGATATTATCGTCTCATGATCACTCGTGATAAAATCCATGAAGTGATTCCAATGAGCGCGGGTTGAATCCAATACTCAGAACTTATGAGCACTCATGAGTGTTGTAGCCCTTTGTCCAACACTTAGACCTCTACAAGCCAACCCATGACAGTCTTAATTCATATCTACTTCCAACATATGACCGACTGTGGATGGTTTGAATAACTTAGTCATTCCGGAAGAATAACCTAGTTTATTCGGGAAGTCAAAACATGCAAAGTGAAACACAATAATAATTGAATCCAATATGGTCTCAGAACTTATGAATATAAATAAAACACTTTTATTTATCACCATATGATTACACATTATTCATTGTATACTGTTTCAGCTATCAACTTTATTCTTGAATTTAAAACAATAGTTGTCCCATGCTCCAAGCATGTACACTATGTTTTCTAAACACTAGTCATGCCATACACCAAGTATGCATACTATGTTTGTCTATGATCTTTACTTTGTGAACTAGATCAATTGAACATAACTTCAATGATTCTCTTTTCACACTCCCAAATCCTTACTGCAAATGCAAGAATTCCAAATTCATGTCATTTACTGAAATCTGTTAGATTCTAAACTTATATGCATTGATCCTCTTGTAATGATTATGCACAAAGTCAGAAAGACTTGCAACAATCATTACAGAGCATTCCAAAGGAGATCAACTCCTTGGAAACATCCTTCTTGCATTAAGTTTCCTTAATCTTACACAGATTGAAAATTCTAACTTTGAAACATTTCCAGATTCCATTTTGACTATCACTTCTGAACAAGAGTTGCCTCCTTACAGATTATGTCAATATGGTCCTTCCAGAATTATCACTATACTTCCAACTGTCCTTGAGCAACCAATCTTTGGTAAACCTTAGATTGTCCTCGACAATTGTTTAATCCTTTTAGTCATATCCAGTTCTAAACCTTTTCCCTTCTTAATGCCCCAGGCATTTGGAAAATTTTAGAAAGGATGAATATAGCACATGTAATCGATCCTATATCCGAAGCATATGGGACACGATTCATGATGTCTCACATAAAGACTAAACCAGTCTTTTGCTATAACATTTCCATTTCTATTTGCCAAGTTCTCATAATTCAGATTATGAAAAGGGATGCCGTAATCATAATCGAATTTAAGAACGCAAATAATGGACCCATATACAGAATTTCCTTATGTTGAGCCATTCCAACATGAAATTCATATATATCCTTGACTAAATGATTAAAACCTCACGATCTAAGCTTATAGATTTGAGATGAAGTATAATTTCCTCTCCCTTAATTATAGCAAAACAACTTTTTCCCAGTTGAAACCTTTTGTTTTCTATAATTAACATTGCTAGCTTGCAATACTTATTGTAATTATCATGCTCCCACTAACATGATGATTATTAGCATAACACTTATGCTCCCACTAGCTTTGACATGTACTCAGAAAGCTCGACTTCTAGAAATCAATACTTTATTAACTTTCTGACCAAAGTTCAGATTTCTGAAACTAGAATGTTTTGATAAGACTTTATCAAAAACATACACCTTCCCTTAGATAGCTCATGGGTGTGTCAAAACAATTTTAAGAACTATGAAAAAGGATGCCGTAATCATAGTCTTGATCGTTTTGACCTTTGCCATTTCTCACAAGTCCAAGTTAGTGTGCTGGTAAACCACACATGCTCCACTAACGACTTTGAGATCACAATTGCTATCTAGCTAAAATCTACTTAGTGGGAAGTGTTTCCTCACCATCATTTTCATGAATCGGAGAGAAACCTTATGACACTTAGATTTAATGGTGTATGTGTTCTTATCCATGTGAATTGTCAAAATCATAGTCACAAGACAAGGATAATGACAAATCCAAACTCATATGGATTGAACTCAATCTTAATTTCTTGCCACCTGGTAGCTCAAGGGCCTACCATTGTTTCCAAGTTGTTGTGCAACACATTGAGAGCTCTAAGAACTCATATGCAAAGCCAACTTTAACTAGAATGGGCACAGAATATGTCAACACGATAGGTTATAAACCTCAAGTCGTGTGCTAGTGAAGAACTTTAGGTTTTATTCTTGATTAGTTCTTGAGACTTTCAAGACCTTTAAGACTCCCACTGTCCTCTTGACCTATAAGACTCCCTTGTCAAACATCCAAGAGATAGTGTGGATTGTAATCAAGATGAACACTTCACACAATTGGCCGAAGTTGGTCTTTGTTTTATACAAAACATCACAACTTACCAATTTCAAATGTACAAGAGTAGAAAACTTTTACTCTTACATTTGTCAAGTGTTTTAAACCTTCTTTAAGACATGTCACTCAAATTACAATCTTGGAGTATGACTCTAAGACTTGTATTGGAACGAAGTATGACTCATCTTCTTGATTTAACCATTTCAACAATTCAAGATCCCTTCTTCTTAGTCATAAGAATGCACTAAGACTTCCTTAGAGAACTAATTTTGATATGGTTTCTTAATCATTGAGATGATCACAAAGCTGATACTAAAGTACTCTCCCATCTTTTCAGATTTGAGAACTTTTATCCTTCTGCCTAATTTGATTCTTCTTATTCGCTCTGCATGCATTGGAACCTTTTCCAATGTCTCAGAGTTACACTTAAGCTTGTAAGTATAATCATATTTACTGAGCTTTAGTAAACTATGACGAATAGCCTTAATCTTTTGTGGTGGACTTAATCAGTGCACATGACTATGTACTCGATCCCTTAGTCCATTACTTGACTCACACATCCATGTGAACAAGTAATTAGTCTTAATTTTTCCAATACTTGAAAGTTCTCATTCATCATGCTATACAACTTGCATGATTCCAAGTTCCGGTCCAATTGAGACTTGGGTGATGAGAATCTTTCCTTATTTGGTAAATTTAGACATTACCACAAATGAAAGAATCAATTTCATATTTCCACTCTTGCTATTAATGGAATCATATAAGCAACAATTTTTCCTCAAATGCCATTGTAAGGATATTTTAAAATCAAAAAATTTCTTTTATTTTAAAACTATGCGGAAAAACTTATCCTTACAATCCATATGAAAACTTGTTGTTATCTATTCCTAAGCAATATCTCATAACTCCTAAGAAGTAGCTCAAGAATCCGATCTTCAAACTACGCGATAGAAATCCATCTACGCGATCAGATTCAGCATATTCTTTCTTTAAGTTCCTTTACTTTTCTTTGATTCTTAAAACATTACCATGTGACCCAGTCACATCATGTATCAAGAATCTCAGAATAGAAACTTAACAGAGTTAGTAGTGGACTTTACCTGAAGTAGAGTCAACTTATTGACTTTAACATCCTTAGGTAAATTTGGCAGCTTCGCAATAATGACCCTTCTTTGGCAATATAAACATATGGACCCTTTGATAATGGTACACGGGACTATACAGACTTAGCTTTTCTCT